TCAACCTAATGGATTTTATGACAGACTAACAGCTTTTCCTACACATCTGTGCCATGTATTTATTAAATAAATTTTCTTGCTGCCCATGTTTAGAACTTCCAGTCCCATCCGACAGTGATGCTTTTTGCACTAATAGCCCTGGAGAAGTTTGCACAAACAAGTAAGTATCAGCCTGGTACTGCTCTTCACCATAAGAGTAATAGCATGGCTTCTGCTGCATGACTGCCATTTGCTTCATCTGATCACGTTTGTTCCAAGTGTGGGAAAGACTGGGTTGATGGGAACATAGATGTTTGTTTAAAAAAAAAAAAAAAATGTTTGTGGATTTTCAAGCAGGAAGAAATAGTTATTGCTTCAGTGACACCTTCCCCCCTCCCAAAAGCAAAACAAAACAAACAACCTTGAGAGATTTGCTGAAACTTCAGTCTTCCTCAGCTAGAAGTTGCTACATAAAGACTTATGACTTGAGACCTTTGTCACTGAAAAAAATCTTTAATAAAGAGTTGGAGAACAGCTATGATTGGGTATTCATAGGCTTGAAGAAATAGTTGTTGCTTTAGTGACACCCCTACCCTCCTATCCCCAAACCCTTGAGAGAGTTGCTGAAACTCAGTTCAGTCCTCCTCAGCTAGAAGTTGCTACATAAAGACTTATGACCTGAGACCTCTGTCACCGGAAAAAAAAAATAAAAATCTTTATTAATAAAGAGATGGAGAGCAGCTATGATCTAAATCTTTTGAGGATGTGGCTACATGGTATATCTGAGTGAAGAGGTATATCTGAGTGCTAATTAATTTCATATGCTTGCCTGTGAAAATAACTTCATACTGTTTGAAGTTTTAAACAATTTTCTACTCCATTTGTACAATGTTATTTCTTTTAACTAAACTTATCCTTAGTTTATAGCAGTTATTCTTTTTTGCTCTTAATTTGCAGGTGAAAATAAAATGACAGTTTCGGAATCGTGCATTAGTGACCAACTGATCTTGCTAGAGAAATGGACAGATAATCCAGACTACTTAAAACGCCAGGTTGGATTCTGTGCCCAGTGGAGTTTAGATAACCTGTGTAGGTATAACAAAGGGATTGAGTCATTTAATTTTAATAACTTCTTCAAAGAGATGGAACACTGCTTTGTGTTTTGATTTGTATAAGCACTTATTGTAAATAAACCAGATTTGCACTGTAATCACTCTCTTAAAAACAAAAAAACAAAAAACAAAAAAACCCAACAACAACAACCACCAAAGCCTACATAAATCCATGTGTAATTGCATGCCTCCCCTTTTGGAAAGGAAGTGGTTTGCACTCTCCATTTGAGCTGCATTGAAAATTCTTTGCACTGTATCTCCAGTTACCCACATTTCAGCAAAGGTGATGAGTAGCTAGATTGTGCTGGCTCTGTCTCTGTGGAACAGCTGGATTACTGACGTGTCCTAGTGCTGTCACTAGCCATTGACATGATCTTACTTGTGCCAGTAGTGCACAGTCACAAGGAATTATTAAACACTTCTTAAAGTAAAGATATATACTAGTGATTGAGAGTGAAGAGTAGATTAACAAGCACTTTACTACATTTATCCTTTATGATAATTAACAATCCCCAAATTCACTTGTTTAGTTGTAATTTGCAGGGCCTGGTAACTGTATCTAACAGACCTGTAGTTTCTACTGCCTTTGGGTTAAATGTGGGTAATAAGTCTTGTTTGGCTTTATGTGGATTTGGCCAGCTTATGGCAGGCCAATGTCAGTAGTGCTAAGTAAACATCAGTAAAATCACTGTAGTAAGTTTGGGATATATGAAATGTTCCTAGGACAAGATCTTTGATTTGTAAAATAACATGCTTATGTCAATAATTTGACACCTGGGAGTATTAATGCTTCTAGCCCTTCCCTGGGAAAGGGGGAAGGGGAAGGAATAAAACAGGAAGAGCTGCTGTGGCTCACTTTAAGTTTTCACCTGCCTGAAAATGAGAGGGTCGAAAGCTTTGAATCCTTGCTTTTCCCTTGTCGTTGCCTTCTTCCCCTGGCCCCCAAATCTTTGTCATGTCTAATGGAGCAGGAAACTTCCACCCAACTAAATATATAAATATGATGATAAATCCTGAAAAAGTGGCGTCTTTGTGTGAACTTGGATGCCTTATGTTTGCCTGTGGGTTTCCTGAAAGCAGTAATTAGTCTGTAGAGATTCTAATTAGATATCTAGATTGTCTTCTAATGTTGAGAAGGTAGTTAACGTACAGTGTTACTGTAAGTGATGCTGTTTTCATACAGTCAAAATGTCGATATTTCATTTGGCTATGCCAAAAATTAACTGTATCTTAAAAGGATTGATTGTCACCAAATGAAATATTTAAAATGTGCTGCAGCAATAATTCAAACTAATTTTATTCTGCAGTTTTAAAAGAAGGCAGACAGCTTACATATGAGAAGGTTGACTTGACCAACATTAGGGCTATGCTGAACAGTAATGATGTCAGTGAATACCTTAAGATCTCACCGCATGGATTAGAGGTAGGACGTCATTTCATAGTTTCAACCTTTTAAAAAAAAGTTTGAAGAAAAAGACAGGATTTAACTATTTTTGTTTGCTACTTGTTCTTGTGTTTCCCTAGAATTAATCAAAGCTTTTTGCCTGCTTTGTATAGAAAGATTACTTTGTCTTAGGGCTGTAACATCACTACACTGATCGCAATTCGAGAAGCGGTCACAGTAAAATAACGCCTGCATCTGTGCCCCAGAATTTCAGAAAAGTGAGGAGGGTGCTTAAGAGTCAGCTGGCTTTTTGCTCATTTTTACTAAAATTGTTCACAAAGTATACTTGCTATTGCTTGTCCTGTCCTAGCAGGCCCATAGCAGTAGGATTTATGCCTCAATTGTATGTGGTTTTTTTTTTTCCCCCCCCCTCTCTTAAGCTTCCAGGTTACTTTTTTCTAAAACTTTGTTCCACTACTTCTAGATGCATTTTGATATAACATTGAAAACCTTTCCCTCCTTTGTGCCGGGAGTCTGCTACTGATTGATGGCTTAGGTCTGTCATCTTGATTGTCTTAGTCTTTAAAACTTTAAACCTATCCCATCAACTCTCTACTTTTTTGTGTGGCTTATCACCGAACATTTTCAGTCTTGCCTACTTAATAAAATCCAGGGTAGTTAGGATGTGACTATTATGGCTTTAAAGAGAGGTCACTTTCTTTCTGAAGTTCAGTTGTCTCAAAATTGTGCTGGTATATTCTTATATGCAAGAAACTTGATCCAGGGCAGAAGGGGCTTGTTTGAATGCTTAGCATGCGAAAACTTAATTTATGCTTTGGTTTTGGTAGGCTCGATGCGATGCTTCATCCTTTGAAAGTGTTAGATGTACGTTCTGTGTCGATTCTGGAGTCTGGTACTATGAAGTCACAGTAATTACTTCGGGAGTGATGCAGATAGGATGGGCTACCAAAGACAGCAAGTTTCTCAATCATGTGAGTACATGTAATGTAACTTCAGTGTTCTACTTGCAACACCTATGAAAACGGCTGTGATTATTCTGTGGCAGAAACTGAGCATCTCTGTGTTTCCCTCAATTGTTCTGTACTTTTGAGAGGCTATTTTTGGTGAATTTAGTGGTAGAGGAAAAGTACTGGCTTGTCAGTGCTGCAGACTGACACTGTTCACACACAAGTATTGTGTAGCTGCTAGCAGTGACAGCTTTTGTTATCTAGATACCACTGTCTGTTTAGGAAGCTACAGGGAAATGGCTTATTTCCATGGGCTAGTCTCTTCTTGGAAACTCTTTAGACTGTAGATAAGAGCAGTGGTTACTGTCTGTGTTGGTTTTTGTGAAGTAAACAAGTGCTCACTAAGAACTAGCAGATTCTCATGGGCTTGCTCTTGTCTTTGTTCTGATAATACAGGATGAATACCTCTGTCTTATTTTACAGTTTGCTCTCACTCTCGTCTAGTTAACTCTATCTTTTTCTTGATTCTAAGTATTCTTCTTACAATTTTATTCTTAAAATTGCATACTTATTAGCATTGAAGAATGAAGTGCCTTATGGACACGAAGTCCAAAGCTACAGTTAATAACCTCAAATGCTAGTTGAGATGTCATTAGGACCACCTCCTTTGTTTCCTGCCTGGAGAAATCATGGCAAAATGTATGAGGGGATGTACCCTTAAGATCTGAGGTTGTCTGTTGCTGTTAGGAGTGATTTGCACATAATTCTTTAGAAGAAGGCAAGATTTCGGTGTCCATTAAGTTGATGTGAGTGGAAAGTTAAGTCTGAGGGTTTTTTGTCTTTACATTGCTCAGTACTCCAGTCCAAAGGCCAGCAAATACCACAAAGCAGGAGGCAGTGAAGACTGACTTTCAGTTTCAAAAATACGTGTGTGGAAATAAGACAATGTTTGGCATGGTGTCTCTTCTACCCTTTAAAGTTGTGTGTGTGTAGGTATGTATCTGCATGTGTGTGCATATGTGGGTGGAGAGGAGGGTGCATACGGATGTAAAAGCTGCCAAACACACTGAGTCTGCGAATTTCTCAAAACTCAGATAAATAGCACTTGATGATTTCATTAGCGTTTAAAAAATTGCTCACTTCATTCTTAATCGTAAGCAAATGTCCTGCCAGTTGTGCTAGACTGTTAAATCAAGTCTGCAAAATTCTACCCATGACAACAGGAAATTGTTTATTAGATGAGGGAAAGTTCTTTGATATTTTTCATTATATTAACAGTGAAAAGGCTAACCAAAAAAAGAATTTAGAGTTCTGAATTTTTAAATCTTCATGGTAACTCTATACAGCAGTTGTAAACGCAGTATGCTGTAGCATCTGTGCTTGTGTACTTCCATGATACTGAGAGAGTGTAGTGACTACTACCCAAAATACTAGTCTGCTTCAAAAACAGGAGACGACGGATGTCTGTCTTCGTGACTCCAGATTGCATGGTGTTTAGCTTAGAGAGGGCTTTCTGTATTATCAGCCTTCCAAGCTCAGCCATCCTGAAGTTCAGTACTGTGCAGGATGGCAGAGGGCATGCACGGCCTAAGTCTACTGCCACTGACCAGAATGGAAATATAGGGCTGGGATTTTAGGTTGGCGTTTTAACTGGCTGAGCTGGAGTAAGAAATACACCTCAAGCCCTTCTGTATTGCTGTACTTGCATAGTTTCATGTCCCTGCTTGCAGCTTAATATAGGAGAAAGATTTTCCTTTAAATGTAGAGAAAAGCAGTTAAAACTGCTCAGTTTGGACTATTATAGAAAATCATTCTACAGCTGGGTCAAATACAGAACCTAATGTGAAAACTGGCCAAATGAAGACATATGAGTAAGTATCGGTGATGGTAGGGGGTGCAAAAGGAATATGCCAACAAGAGGAAAGAAACATCAGTGGCAAGAAATGCAATAGGAATGGGAGAGTAGTCTTTCTCACCATCTAACTGAAGTCTTCCTGTGAGTTCTGTCGTCTTGCTCAGTTTCTTCCGCTCGTTTGTGTAAATCATATTCTCCTCTGCTGATATGTAGCATGCACATATCTCTGTGTCATTTCCAAAGTCCAGTCTCACTTGCATGGAATTGCAAGTGCAATTTTAAAAAAAATGAACAAAAAACCTACAGAGCTGTTCTGAGCGTGGGCATTGCTAACGTTGACTATAGTGGAAATGGAACTAAATGGCAGTTGTGTCTGCCTTTAGCATACTAAGAGGCTTAAAAGATTTTTGCCACTTACTGTTAAGGCACTTGATGCGTATGCATTTTTTTCTGTCTGTGCTTCCTCTACGTGGTATGAAAATAGGAGATGTCACATTTCTGAGCTGTGTGATTCTTGTGTTGCTACAATTGTTTTACTGGCAGTAAATACTACTGGTGTGTATATATATGTTCATAAGGTTTCTACCAGAAATATCGGGGTGGACTTTTCTGCTGGATATGTCACTAATACTCATCAGAGTAACTCATTATTTATAGCATGTGTAACAAAAAGGCAAATAGTCCTAAATATAACATTGAACGCTCCTTAGTTGGACTTAGCTTCAATTTAGGACATCTGAGACTTGTGTGATCAGACACTTACTAGTGTTTGCACTACAAACAATGTTGAGCATGAGGAAGCTATCTTCCATAATGCTTTTGGGTTTCTCATTTGGGCTCTCCTACATGATGGGTTCTTCTTCCACCCTGAAATTTTGAGTGTCTCGCATTTCTTATGAGACCTTGGAACTACTGCTTGGTAACGCCCTTACAAATTGAGGGAGACTGTCACTGAAAGGGACACCATGTGCACAAATTTAGTGAGGAGTCTGTGGGACTGTTCTCTTTTTGTGCTCGATGTTCTGGTGACACTTAGATATCTTGCGGGGAAGGGCATTGCAAGCTTTCTGCTGGGACTTGAAGATAAAAGAGTGGTTACGCTTCCTGTGTTACCTTTTTAAGCTTCAAAGCACTAGCGCTGCTGTTTGGGTACTAGACTTGAGATTTTAAATGTGTCATCAAATTTAGTAGACAGAAATGATTTGAGCTCACAGAAAACGAAAGACACTTTGGGGACAACGCCCCTCTTTTCCTCACCTCACTCCCACCGCATGTCTTTTGATGTGAAAATGAAATGAAGACTACTTTGAAAAAGGACCCTTCTCCCTTTTGGATGAATGATTTAGTTGAATGAAAAGAGACTTTAGCCCTTCTGCGTGAGGAATGGCCGCAAACTGGAATGCTTTACTTCTTTCTAAAGGAAGGTTATGGCATCGGGGACGATGAATACTCCTGCGCTTACGATGGCTGCCGGCAGCTGATTTGGTATAATGCCAGAAGTAAACCACATTCCCATCCCTGTTGGAAAGAAGGTATTTAGTCCATTTCAAGTGTTTATCCTAACTGGATTTCTGCACAGGCCTTTTCCTCTTGCAGGCACCTAGAATACTTAGTAGTAGTTGTGGATGAAGCAGTTGTTGCCTAATCTTGGTGATACTGAAGGTTTAATAATTATTGTGTCTTTACTAGTATTTGATGCAGTAAACTGAGCACTACTCTCTTATTTCACAATATATGGAAAGAAAGTCTCCCCCCCTCCCCCATAGGTAGAGTACAAATTGTATTACCAATTAAAGTTACTAGACGTTTTTCATCATAAAACTTTTTTTTCCCTAGATGTTTGTAGTCCTACAAAACTTTGTTGGAATGTTTCTTGCTGGGTGTCTGCCTTATACTGAAAGTTATTTTAGAGGAGGAAAAAAAAATTGTGTACTCTACAGACCCTGGCTAAAGGGGAATGGCACTGTCTTGCTTGCTTTAAACTTGTGGATAACTACTTGGACAACAAAGATATGTTTTTGGTCTCAGATCTGAAATCTTGGTAGGATTGGATGTGTATGCAATGCTGGTGTGAACTGTGCCGCCTTCTCTTCTATTAAAAATCTCTCCAAGTCCAGCTAAATTAACATCTCCTTTAAAAAATAAAAAAAAAAAGAGGGGGAGGGGTAAAATACAATTTCTACAAGCATATTAGAAACTTCTTAGACTTTAGAAAATATATGCTCTGAAGATCTCTGCAGTAGGTGTAAAATAGGCAGGGAGAGAGATGAAGGGAGAAAGCCTCTTCTGGCTTTGGTTAACACTCTGCAGTACGTTCATATGTATGTGGCATTAATACTCTGGCAATCTAAAATATTTTATTTTTTGATTATTTTGTCCTTTTTTTTTTTCCTCCTAGTTACTATCTGTCTCACTGTTTCTTGCTCTATGCTTTTTTGAACAGTTCCTTCTTAGTGAGACAACTCGTAGTGAGATAAGCAGTACTTAAATAACTGTTTCAGCTATTTATATTTAATACGGCTGAAGTCTTTAAATTATCTTTGTTTTGCACATAAGGAGACACAATAGGATTTCTACTAGACTTGCAAGAAAAGCAAATGATCTTCTATTTAAATGGAAACCAGCTTCCTGCAGAGAAGCAAGTATTTTCATCTGCTGTGTAAGTATGTGCTCATTTGGAAGGACTGTAACCTGTATGGATAATAGCTTTAATTGTATGAAAATGTTTCTCAATTGAAATGTAAACTGATATTTGCTTGCCATAAATACCATCATTAAGCAGGCCTCCCTACTGAAAGTTTTTTAGAAATCAGTGGCTAGGATATAATTTTGCAAGTGGGTTTCAGGGCCCAAAGTAAATACTTGAGAGCTTCCAAAGGTAAGTTGCACTCAATGCTCTCTAGTGTGAGACTAGAACACCATCAAAATAGAATGAGGTGGTAGCCAAGATGAGCGAATTCCTAGTAGAGCTTGAGGAACTTTTGATCTTTTCAAAGCAAAACACCTCAGTCCTGCAAATTCTGAAATATATATTAACTTGCTGCAGTTCAGTGGGGCTGGTTCTTGTAGTAGTATATTGAGCGTTCATGGGAGGATGGGTCTGACAGCACTACAGAAAGGTGTTAGGCTTTATTGTTCCACCTCCTGTTAAAATTAACATAGGGCTACTTCCTCTGACTCTCATGGAAAAGTTCAGTCTTTTAGCTCTGAGAAGATCGGCTGGTGTGAAACTTGAGGAAACTTGAGAGAGAGGCCTCCTGTGCAGCTTAATTAAAAATACAATATTACTGTACTAATGATTTTGTTCATGTTTTCTCCTCAAAATGAAGTTCAAGATGCAATCAAATCAGTAGCACAGTTTAAAGTATTGTGGAATATTTTGACCATTCAAGCTGTAGTACCCCCCTCTTTATGTAAGTGCATCATTTATATGCTTAACAGATTCTGTTACTCTATCAGAACTTAACTCAGCATATTATTCAGCTTGGGTCCTCTCTGCAAGTCAAACTGAAAGAGATGATAGTTCTGGTGTTTTTATAAGGTGTCTGTACAGCTATGAAGAAAAGGCAGCTGTCCTGAGTTAATCCTGTAAGGGCAAGGAGAAGCAGATGGGCCTTGTCCTAATAGAGCTCATGGACCTGAATTCATCTTGCACAGGCTCCATGCAACATGTGTACTCCAGATTTGCTGCACGTTCCCTGAATTTGTGCCCAGTCAAATAAAAGCAGGAGCAGGAGTGTTGGACATGTAAGCATCACTGGCAGTTGACACTGCTCCTCAAAACTCTACTAAACAGCAATTGTTTGGAAGAGAAATATTTTTTCAAATTCCCGTGCTGAAGGAGAGAGCTGAGCTGATCAGTGTAAAGAGGATCAGGGTGTGGGTTGTTCAGATGTATATGTTTGCTCTTAGTGTAAGTGTGACTAATCCTAGTTGTAGGGTATGCAGACTTTCATTGATTGGCTCGATAGTAAATTCAGATAACTTGTCAATTTACTATCAGAAGTTAAGAACTCAAAAAGGAACGGATGGATGTGCAGCTGAAACTGGATGTGTTAGTGCTCTTCTCCCAGTTAGCTTTAGCTACATCTTCGTGCTGAAGAAACTTGTCCCTTTGTTTCAGGGCATATTTTGGTCTGATAATAGAAGTGCTATGCCTGGAAAGCTCTCTTACTGCTTTAAGTCACCCTAAAACGTTTGTTTTTCTTCATGTTGCAGATCTGGCTTTTTTGCTGCAGCTAGTTTCATGTCCTATCAACAATGTGAGTTCAACTTTGGGGCAAAACCTTTCAAGTATCCACCATCAATCAAATTTAGCACCTTTAATGATTATGCCTTTCTGACAGCAGAAGAGAAAATCATTTTGCCAAGGTAATCCTTCTGTCTGGCTTGAGTGTGTTTACATGTAGAGAAGTAATCTGCTTTGTTTCCTGGTTGTGTAGTCTTAGGTTGTGTTTAGCAAAGTTACTGTTTATAGCGTCACTCCTCCATGTCCAGAAAAGGACTGGACCATAGACCCTGGTACAACATAACTGGGTAGGACAGGAGATACATGACCAAACTGCATTTAATTAAAATCATTGTCTGCAATATTAATTTAGTGTAATTTCAGCTGGTACTGTGGCAGTAAAATGCTTGTAATAAAAGTGCCTCCTGCCTTGTAAGAATATTAAGCTGGTTGAGGCGGAATAGCTTTAATTAAAAAATGGTGTCTCTGTTTAAAACTGACCTAATTTGTGATGCAATTGTGATGTTGGCAAAGTGGAGGTACTGAGTGATTGTAAAACTTGAAGTTATTCTTTTCTGATCCAGATGAAAGTTCCCCATTTGTGAATGATACTACTAAAAAAGATTACTCAAACTCAGAACAGCTTACCCACTTAGGTATAAATCAAGCCAAATAAAAATGGAACCTTTGGTTTGGGGTGAATTTTTCTTGAATTCTGAATTTCTGGCAGGAATGAAATTTTTGTTTTAGGTCATTAGTAATAGAAGTATCTTCTGGAACACTGTATCATTATTTGGCTACTGTTTGTGAACAATTTCTGATGAACTATTTGTACCTAGATTTCCATCTTTTCCTGAGTGTGACCTTAAAGGTCTAGGCTCTCTAGAGTGGTGCTGATGTGTATGACTGAAGTAGCCTTTTGTTGCTTCTAATTAAGCTCCTGAGTTGCATGTTGGCAGAGCTTGAGACTTATGATGCTGAATTTATGCAATGAGAAAAACAAATCCAACCTGCAAGACTATTTTGCAGTTCTTTATAGCCACAGTAATTTATACCTGCTTGTGACTGAAGGTGCTACGAGTGAGGGCTTTTTTTTTTTTTTTTTTGTACTGAAGACCTGACTTAATCCCTTAAGATGATCTGTTAGTTATCATCCCTGGTCAGCCCTTTGTTCAAATGAAGTGTTCTTCTACCTCAGTTTCATGCATTAGCTGAGGGTTTTTGCAGTCTTTAGCCATGTGCTAAAAAGAGATGATGATCAGATGTGATTGGTATTAATCTCACTCTGGTAGCAGACTCCCTGTGTTTAAGCAGTAGCTGTGAGAGCTCTTCTTTGTGCCAAAAGCCATGGAGAGAAACTAGAAGAAATTGGCTTCCCGTTGATATCTAACTGGAGAAATGTTGTCCTCCTGGGTTAGAGTCTATTTAATATGGGATAGCACTGAAAGAGTCTGTTCAAAGTTGGATACTGTTGCTCTTTGTGTATACAAAGATTATCCCTGCCTACAATCCAAACTGTTTGGAAACTATAAGTTAAATTAGAAGATTGCTTTGATCTTAAGGGTGACAGGAAAAAAGGGCCTAAGTGGCTTCTAATTATCCATCACTGGAGTGACTGTAGTGTGTGGGTTTTTTTTTTTTTTTTTTTTTTGTAGAGCTGTGCTGAATATAATGCATTTAGTGTCAAGACATAGTCTGGGCTAGACACTTCAACCTACCATTAAACAGTTTTGACTTGTAGCATATGCATTTCGTATTTGGAATGGCATATTTGCAACTAGTGTGGGATTTCCACGCGTTTACTCTAGCAACACTTTCTGGTCAGAATTATCATGTGGTCTTATTACTTCCTTAAACCCACTTGACTAAAAATCACAATCTTCATTATATGAACTCTATAATAGTATGGTTTTTATGCCCAAATTGTTCTAGGACCTCCTTTTTTAACACAAAAGCAGTGCATGTTATGTCTTTTCTTGCAGCAGTTGCCATATTGGGTTGTTGGTTTTCTTTTGCATTTGTATTTTTTTAAACTATCTTACCGCATTATAGGACTTCTGTACTCTGATTTTGTTTGTTTGTTTTTACACTCTTTAAAATGCACAGATACTAAATAACAATTTTGGGAAACGTTCAGCTGTGGGAGCTAGAGGAATTGTAATCTAACTCGCTCTTTGTCCCTCTCTGAACTAGGCGAAACCAGGAAGTCAAAGACAGTTCTGAACATCTCTGCATGTTTTAAGCTTTTTTTTTTTTTTGTGGGATGTTTGTAACTGATATTTATCATTACTCACGTTAAGTAGCACGTGCAAGTGCTGCATTGGTCTGATGCAGTACTCCAGAGTAGTTATGAATCTATAGTTTTGAGTATAATGTGAAAGTGAGGGTGGTCTCTTTCTTCAGACACAGACGCCTGGCTTTGCTGAAGCAAGTGAGTATCAGAGAGAACTGCTGCACACTTTGCTGTGATGAGATAGCAGACACAGAACTCAGGCCGTGTGGACACAGGTAAATTTAAAAAAAAAAAAAAAAATTAAGAGAGAGAAAGAGAAAATGTGTGTGTTTGAGCTTAAGCAAGAACAGGTACAGTCCTGCTTATTAAGTGACTGCAGCCTACAGAAAATGCTCCATCCTTTTAAGGATGGGGAAAATACAGGCTGAATGTAGTAGTCTCACCAT